CATCGAGGTAAATTTTTGCAGCCGGAGCTGGTCGTAACCCGAAAAGTTCGTTAGTAGAGGCGTTCGTATCCCGAGGTACCACTGTATTGCCCTCGCCTGTGCTCCATCATCATGATGTTCAGTCTCAGTCAGGTGAGATAGGTTTACCCACAGTTTGGTCAAGCCAGAGCTGCTTGATTAGACTCTGGTTCCCAAATGACCTTATTTCCTAATTTCAACCGCTTCTGGTTTGCAGTTCTGCAGTCCCCTGCTTCAGGCATCTCACAAGGGAAGAGAAGGCAAGATCTATTTTTTGAAAAACAAATAAAATGATGTACCTCCCCCTGTCCAACATACGTTTCTGAACGATTCAGTTCTTATAACTGAAAAAAGCCCTGATCGTGGAAATAGGTCAGCTGCTTGATGCGGTCAAATTCCATCCTCTTTCCAAACCGGATTTTTGGAGACTGTACCTTGTCAGCCCCACAAGATGTTCCATCTCTCACTGCTCCAAGATCATAGGCGTCCTCTCCAAAGTGAAACTCTGTCCCCCAGCACGTGGTATCTTCTACTGGCGTCTGAATGATACCTTGTCCGGCTCCAGTTATGGGGATTTTCTTCACGTGCACGCACTGGAGCCTTCCACAAAGGATGTCTCTGGAAGAAAAGAGAAGGCGAACATTTACAGCTCTACAGGCCGTGGATGGAGAGTGCAGTTTGTTGCCTTCAAGCCTTCCCCCACAGCCAACTTCCCCATAGCTTGTTCTGGGGGTGATCTTCTGGCCCTACTAAAGTTTCTCTCTTGCACGGTCTACAGCAAAAGCTACAGTTCCTTAGCTGGGACCGCCACTTCCCATCAGTTGGCTATTCGAGGCCTGGGGAAAGGGCATCTTCTGGGAAAATATCCAAGAGGGGAAAAACAGCACACCCAGTATCAGGTGCAGAGATGGGCGTGGCTTTGGCAAGCAAAGGTTAAGGAGCAACACAGCCCCTGCCCCCCTCAATTCTGGAAGATAAAACTGTTACAGGGGCATCTCTAAGGGGGAGGTGGGGCAAAAAGTCAAGATGGCAGCCAAGGCACGTGTTTGAAGCTGACACACGTAAAAAAGGGATGGTTTTTTTGACAGTCCCCCAACCTCTCGCTGTCCCTTCTTCTGTGTTCTGCGTTATACTGGATAGGTGTTTACAGAGAACAAGTCAGACTGGTCACAAATATCCAGTAGAAGTAGAAGTGTGATCTCAGTGGTGCTCAAAAGCAGTGCAACCTGGGGCAGAAGGAAAAAGGACCACCTTTTATGGTTTATGAACAATTTCTTGCTTAGCTTAGGAACAAGTGGTACAAGCAAGAATGGATGTTCTAATGGTGGAGCCAGTAGGACAGCTTTCCAAGGCTTTCAGTATTTGGGAAGAACAGTAGAGCACAAAGTTCATCATATCAGTGCTGGAAAAATCAGGCAGCTGCCCAGAGGTACACCTACTTCTCCTGGCACTTCTTGAAGCGACGCCTGTCCATCACACAGTTGCCAGACCGGTCACCCAGCATGTTCACTTCCCTGAAACATTTCAGTGGGGCAACTTCTGCACCTGGAGAAGGGAAAGGAACAAAAGGGGAAGTTGGGCTTCCTCTCTTCCCAGCCTGGGAGGAGACTGCTCCACCACTGGCTTCAGACGTGGGGCTAGGCAAATGATCTCCTTTCAGATCCCTCCCCCCCGCAGTTTCAGGACATAATGCAACTAGGTTAAAGACAGAACGTGGATCCATAAGACAATTACTGTCTGTCACAGAAAACAAGGGGGACTTTCAACAAGATGTTTCTGAGTAACATTGTCTTCTGCCATGAGATTTCCAACTAACCAGACAGCCATGCCTTCCACTAGGTTCTGCTCGATCCACTGGGATATTGTGCTTTCCTTTCCCAAATGATATTCCATGTTCTGTGCTACCCAAATGCTTCATTCCCACTGATCTGGATGGCTTTGCAAGTGTTTCTATTTGGGTAGCAGATGTTCTTCACCGAGGTCAAAGACCAAAGTTATACAAATCAAAGAACAACTGACACTGCCAATAAAACTAGATAGCCAACTCTGTACGAATTCTATGGAACTTAGAGACATTTAGAGCGGTTAAGTCATTCTGATCTGCACATACACAGATACTTCTGCAAACTTGGGGTTCACCTCCGAAGAGTGATAACCTCACCTTGCTGATTTAGCTGAGTTACTCACAAATAACAGGAAGAATGTGCAGATATAAATTCCAATAAATCTCAATAAATAAATAAAATAACAGCCATCAATAAAGAAAGTATCTTGAAAGTCTTCTTTAGGTATGGAGAAAAAGAGTGAACTCAGGGAACAGGTGACATTTCCCAATCTATCCAGGCCTACCCAAGAGTTTTGTTTCTGCTCATCCATGCACCAAATGGCGCAGGTGTTCTTGGAAAGTCCCAGGGGTTTCCATGGGGGAGGTGGGTCCAAAAAGATCAAGGTGGCAGCCACAACCATACAACTGAAGCCCCTCCTCCTTTTTGCACGTGTAGCAATGCATGAAAAAAGGCCGGAGTTGCGGCTGCCATCTTGACTGTTTTCACCATCCCTGTGGACACCCTTGGAAAGACCAATGTTCTTTGCTCTACCAAGTCCAACCATTTAACTACTTGTCAAAAGTTTTGCACTAATTTATTATTGTTTCTTGAATTCTGGGGGTTGAAGTCCACACATCTTAAAGTAGCTGAGGCTGGGAAACACTGGCCTATTATATTTTCACTCCCCGGTTTATAGTCTTAGTTTTCAAATATTATAGCATTATATTGGTAATGCTAGCTTTTAGGTATTTGAAAAAAAAACATGTCATAGCTTTCACTGTTACTGAAATTATTGTAATTCTTATTGATGTTATTTTATGCTGGTATTTGACTAAATTAAATATATTGGGGCATATAGAGCAGTGTTTCTCAACCTTGGCAGTTTGAAAATATATTCTCAACCTTCAACTCCCAGAATTCCCCACCAGACAGCCAGCTACTCTCTCCTTTGTTAATGATCAATGTAGATGCCATCCTGCTAGAAAAGGCTCTCTTTCCTCCTTCGATATCCGTAGTCAGACATATCTGCCTTTTTTTAAAAAAAATCATTTTTAAATTAATGAAATAAAACAAAGAAAAGGAAAAGCAAAGGAAAAAGGAAAAAAATACATATACATACATAAAATGAACTTTACACTACAGCAAAGGTTGAAATGAAAATATGATTATAATAATAATAATAATTTATTAAATGTATATGCCGCCCAACTCCCAGCAACTCTGGGTGGTTTATAAATTGTTTAAAACATTAAAAAGAAGGAAACAAGAAGAAACAAACAAAAGAGTAAGGGTAGAAAAAACAACAAAACCGGATGGAACAAAGGAGAATAACCCACACAATCTAAAGGGGGCTTCAATCCCCCTCGCCAAAGGCCTGGGCAAAGAGCCAAGTCTTCGGGGCCCTTTGAAACACCAGTAGGATGGGCGCTGTTCAAATCTCAGGGGAACCTCATTCCAGAAGACAGGTCCTGCTACAGGTGCACCCCGAAAGATGGGAGCCTTGATGGGAACGCTACCCAGGAGAGGAACGAGGGTGCCAGTCCATCAAAAGACCAACTTGTTATTACCGCCTGCAGGTCAATCATGCAAATGTGCCCAGCACAGCCCATGGCAGCCATGAAGAAACTCTGAGTTTGGTTGGAAGAAGATGGAAGGGGAACTCACTATCCCAGGGGGAAGGTGGCAGAAATCCACAGCCAATCCTGGCTGGGAGACAGAAACTCTAGAGAACACCTACTAAACGGGCATGGAGATTTGCAATTTCTGGCCAGTGCCTGTGAGTGGCAGAGAGTTGCAGACCCTCTTTGGCAAGCAGGAGATCAGTCTTGCCTTGGCCGAAGAGGTCTGTGCAGTGTTGCTGTAGATCGTGGCATTTCCCCCGATAACAAGAGCCAGAGGTGCCGCACAGCGTCCCGTCTTGCTTGTGCACATCGGCAGGACAGTCGGCAGAGCTCCCGTTGCAGAACTCGGGAAGGTCACACTCCGAAGCAGACCCTCGACACAGCGCTCCCCTTCCGGAAAACTGTTGGGAAGAATGGCTTAAATTTGGAGGGTTCTCAAAGGGGTCAACGGCTGAGAGAGAAGGCAAGGCATACATTCGAGCACGTGGGTGGGTGGGGACGTAAATATCCTTGAAGAGGGTGTGGGTGCACCACCTTCTTAAGAGGCCAGCTGTACTGGATAACTATTGTCTGGTCTTCAAGCTTTCCTTTTGGAGAAGTTTGCCGAGAAGATGCTAAAGTGGCAGGGACAGCTGGGAGAAGCTGATTCTCTAGGTCCTTTTTGGTCAGGGTTCAAGGCTGGGGATAAACAGGTGCCATGTTGGTCAGTTTGGTTGATGACCCATGGCAGGACTTAGATGGGGGAATGTAACCCCACCTGTCCTGCTAGAATTCTCAGCAGCCCATGACACAGCCAATCATGGGATTATTCTGGACCATCTGTGAATGGGGGCTCTTCTTCCTGAGTGGACAGTTCCAATTTGTGTTTATGAGGGAAGAGAGCACTCTAAGAAGGAATGCCCAGGTCTCAACCCCACCCCTCCATTTAATGGACTCATTTATTTCTAAAATTTGTATGCCAGCTGATTCACATGAAGCCACTGGGAGAAGTCCCTCAACAATTTGAGGCATGGTAACCGCAAGATGAGATGACACCCAGTTATGCATCTCTGCCCCAGACTGAAGAGACATATGGTAGAAGTCTTGACCAGAGCTGGAGGCTGCAAACTCTGGATGCAGAGAGACAGGTGGAGACTCCATCCAAGGAAGATGGAGCAGATGCTGTTTCAGACCCAGCTGAATGCAGGACAGTTCCAACATTAGCCCTGGGTGGAGGCATGCTCCCCTGAAGAGGTGGCCCACAGCTTGAGGGTTCTTCTAGACTCACAGCTCTTGCTGGAACTGCAGGTGGAAACTTTTGCCAAGAGAGCCCTTGCCCAGCTTAGGCTGCTACACCAGTTGTAGCCACTTCCTGGAACGGAACTCTTGCTGTTGTCACCTCTCCTTGGGACTCTTGTTACTAGCTTTACATGAGACTGCCCTTGAAGACCACCTGGTGACCCCAACTGGTACAAAATGCAGCTTCCATGAGCCAGCAGGAAAACTCAATATTCCTGTACAATATCTGAATTAGGAGAGCTGCATGAGTGCCCAGTTGCAACTTAAGGTGCTGTTTATTTATAAAGGCTGCCCCAATCTGTTGTGACTCAGAGTAGCTTACAAAGGCAATCAAAACACAGAATGTGTTATCAAAGAAGAGTCTGGAAAAAAATCAACAATAGGTTAAAAACCAATAAACCTATAAAGTCCTACATGGCTGGGGCCTGGTCATCTGCAAGACAGGTTGCTCCAAGTGAAATTTGTCGGCCAAAGGCACGTTGGCAGAAGGGGCATACTGAGAGCCCCTATTCCTTGTGAGGTCAGGGGCGAGAGACGTGGGGATGAGCATTCTCTCCCAGGGCTCCCTCCTGTGGAGCTACACTGAGCCAGGACTACAACTGTGCAACTCCAAAGAGCACACAATTGCAGGCATCCACAAGGGAGGGAGCCGTATCACAAGCATCATCTCGTGAGTTATGTGATTTGAGGGATGATGTCATGACCCATCATCCTGGCTTCAAATAGACCCCAACGACCACCAGGTTAAAAGGTTTGTATAACAAAATATGTTTTTAAGAACAATTATGTTTACATGAAGCCCAGAAGATTGGTGAAAGCTGTGTTCATCTTACCTTACATTTCTCACAGCAAAGGCCATAAACACAATTTGTGCCCATCTTCAATGTACAGTCCTTTTGGCAACAGCTATTTCTTCTGCATTCCTGCAAAGAAAGGGACTGTCATGGTTGCCTCTCTTCCCCAGGGCAGTTTCTAACATTAAAATAATACATTTGAAAGGGTTCTAAAAGGTCATTTAGACCATTTAATCACGGCTCAAACCGTGAATGAATAGCATCTTATGTTACTCAGCAGGCTATTGCATAGGGGTGCCTGCAGGGTGTGGTCAAAAAAGTCAAGATGGCCATGATCAAAGCTCTGCCTGTTTTTGTACGTGTATTGTGTGTGTATGTAATACACATAAAAAGTGGGGGGAATTTTGACTGCACCATTGCAGCTGCCATGTTGACCTTTGGACCATACCATGCAAATACCCCTCCCATTGACTTGGGCACAAAGGTCTTTGAAGGGCAGATGAATTTTGCACAGGGAACACACAAAAAAACCAGGCGGAGCTTCAACCGCACTGTTGTGGTTCCCATCTTGGCTTTTCTGACCACGCCCTGAGGACATCCCTAAAAAAGGACTAAAGACATTCATGGGCTACAAGATACGGCTGAATCCTGAACTGATGGCCCACTTTGCTATTGGCTCAACTCTGGATCTCTGTATGGGTTCACTGGAACTCTCTTGAAGGAATTAGACGGCATCTTTGAGACAGCAAAATATCCCTCACATTTTCAGAGATGGCTCCAGGAGCATCCACTGGTGTGCAAGAGTTTGTGTGTGCATGTCAAAAAAAGTTAAGATGGTATCTGTGGCTGTGCATTGGAGGTCCTGCCCCTTTTGGCACTTGGAAAATGGTTAAAGATCCACCCTTTTGCATGGTTTTTAATTATTAAATGATTCCAGGACCTCTGTTATTTTTCATTGCAGTCAATCTTTTTAAACTTGTTCTTTCTGCTTTCGTTTTTGTAATTTTGTTAGCCGCCCTACCCAGAGTGAAAATCAAATGAAAAAGGACATAAATCAAATAATAAAGGAACCAGGATTCAGTCATGCGTTTGTGCCTGCCATCTTGAGTTTTTTTCACTCTCACAGACACCCTGGTCTCTGTTAAATGAAACTGTTGAGCAAACAGCATGAAGACCCTCACCAGGGTCCACTGACCTACCGTCAAGTCTTTGGATTCCAGGTAGTTAGCAAAGGAGAAGTGGCTCCCTGACCATCGTATCCACTGTTTTAAAAAAAAAAAAAAGTATGAAATATTTACTTTGCCTTTTTCACTACTAATCGCTGGGAATGGGGTTCATCTTAGCTAATGAGCTGTTTGGCTTCTAAATGCTGAAATCAAATTAAATAAATCAACATATTGCAAAACCATAAAGACAGAACGTGAATCCAGTCTTAAGAGGCGAAAAGGTTTTAACAAGATGTCTCACATTTAAAAAAAAAACCTTCTACAAGAGAAGGCATGTTCTGATTTTCACCAACTTCACGAAGCCCCTTGGGAGAAAGTGTTTTGGTTGAAGTCTCCTAGCCTCCTTGTGTCAGCCATGACTCTAAGCTCGGAACTAGACTGGGAGCTCTAAGTCTTCTCAAGGACGCGTGCAGTGGCTGAATTCGTGCACCATGCTAAGCCGTAACGTGGTTGGGTTGCTTACTCTTTTGAGATGCAGAGGGGCAGAAATAGGAAAGCTCTCCTATAACCCACGGTCAGATTTAGGGCTCAATCAGTTGCTTTTGAGCATGAAACTGAGCCAACTCAGGGAGGCAGTGAAGGACAGGAAGGCCTGGCGCAATATGGTTCATGGGGTCACGAAGAGTCGGACACGACTTAACGACTGAACAACAACAACAGTTGCTTTAACAACTGGAAGTTGGCCATGGAAGTAGCCCTGTCCTAACCTCCAACTGAGCTGGTGAGTAAAAAGGGATGAGTTCAAGGCAACGCTTGGTGGCCACACTCCCACTCCCAGTTTTCTGATTCCCACCTGCCAGGCAGGAAAAGAAGTCCCCAATCACTCCCCTTAATGTCGGGATGGGGGGAGAGGGTTGGGTGATGGAAACAGAGACCCAGCACTCTTCCTCCACCAGAAGCTATTAAAACTGTGCTGACAGTTTAACTAGCACACTGAAAACAAAATCAAGGCCCTGGGCCACCTTTCAAGTAGCCCATGGGACGGGCCACCCGTGCAGAGGGGCAGGGTGGCTGGGTACTGTTGCTGCTGGGCGAGTTTTGGATGTGGGTTTATGTTACTCTGAAAGAGCGGTAGACATGTGTTAAGAAAAGAGCCACTTAGGTTGATAGATCAGTGGAGCTTTGGAGGGAGGGGCACAGGACGCAGGAGGGAGCCCACAGAGAGTGCTCACTGCCCCCCTTCATCCTGTACTCAGGTATCCCGTTCTGATGGATCGCTATGATGGGGACCTAGCACGGGGTGGAGATCCACCTTTATAGAGATCTTGCCACTCCACCTCCTCCATTCCTGTTTCTTAAAAAGATCTTTTTTCTAAAGAGAGGGAATCGCAAGACCATTGAATACATTTTGAAAGAGGTCTAGTCACCACAGGAGTCATGCTTGTGTTGGGAGAAGAGGGAACACCTTAACCTCAGACCAGCTGAATCCAAAGCGAGACAGCCTCAGCTTGGGGCTGGGAATGGCAGGAAGGCAGTGCCAGAGGGATACGTCCTTAAAGACTGATAAACATTTAGAGATGCCCAGATTGACACGGCATAAAAGTCACAGGAACCATCAATCAATCTTTCAAGCGGATGAGCCTTTCATCAATGACGTGAGCTACGTAAAGGATGTGTCCACCTAAGTGGGGCCAATACTGGAAATCATGCTCAGTAGGAACTTTGAAGATCCGAAGGAATCCTTCTGTGGAGGGAACTGGTGACAAGGGAGAGCTCTCCAAGACTGGCCAAGTTCTTGTTTTCCCACTCGGAACGAAATATCTTTCCAAGCCAGGCCAGTTTCTCTCCGTGAGCATGAAGGATCCAAGGGAGCAGCATGAATCATGTGCTTTACCCTTTTTTCTCACATGGACCTGATTTGACTGTTGGGATGTCTTACAAGTAGAGCAACTGGAGATGGCAGAGGACGCCTTAGTGGAAGCAGCATTTTCCCTCTCTTACCTGCTGGGTTTTAGCTTTGGGTCTTTTAGGAAGGAAAAAGGTGAGGATTCTTTCACCTTTTATTTCCTGATAAAGGAAGAAAAAGACATTCACTGCAGTCTTTTTTCAGCTTTTTCTTAGTTTCATAACAAAGCGTTACCTTCAGGTGTTTCTAAAACAATATTCTGCAATCACAATCAACTTGTGGATTTCAAATAATTATTTACTTTCTGAAGTAAACTTTTTCTTTTCTTTTACTTTTCTCATCCTTTGTGAGAAATTATGTTCAACAGTACGTGTCATATGTGCATACATACACTCACACGCACACACATACTGTACATACACACATACACTGACTTAAATCTAAATAATTATAAATGAACGTGGAAATGGGATGGCCTGGATTTAGGAATAAACACCTTAAACTGGCATCCTTCCAACTGTAATGCCCATTTCAGGGGTATCTGCAGGGGAAGGGGGTACTGTCAAAGAAACTCAAGATGGCAGCCGCAGCATTGAAGGCCCTCTCTGTTTTTACATGCAGTGCATACACCATGAACGTTAAAAATGGGCAGGGCTTTGTATGGTAGAAAATGCCATCCTGACTTTTGCCAATGATGCCCCTGGCCCCTTTTCAATATTCTTTGGGAGCAGGCCATGCCAATGAATCATGGTGACTGTTTAGAAAAGGGCTCCCGTGGAATAGGATGGGCTGTAACATGGGCCACAAATGAAAGGAGATGAAGTTTCTTTCTCAGGTTCCGCGTTGTCTAGTAGCAGTGAAATCTGGAAAGCTTGACCTTGGCAATAAGATTTGTAGAAGCTACTGTCATACATGGGTGGAAGAGAGGGAACGGGCTCTGTTTCCAAGTTTATGTTGACCGGGTCCAAGGAGGAATCTCCCATAGAAGAGAATCTCTGCAGCTCAGGGTTGAACTGTGGAGTTCTTGGTGCTCTCTGGGCTGGGTGGTTTTCCTGCAGACGCTTCAAGCTACTATATATAAACAGGCAGCAAGTCCCACACTCCCATGAGCTGATGGCGTTACCTAGTTGGGCCATGAAATGTCTGCAACCAAACAACCCAGCTCAGAGAGCAGCTAGGACTCCACAAGGAGTAATCTTTTAATTAACCCCCCCATACCTGTCTGCTCAAAAGTACTCTTATTTACTCCCAGGGAAATGTGCGCAGGATGTGCAGGATGCAACCCCTGTTTATTAACGGTGCTGGGTCCAGAACAGAAGCTTCCAAGACGAACGAGCTGCTGAGATCTCAGAGCCACTTGAACACAAAACCACACAACTGACTTCTCTTGACTGAAACCCTTCATGCCTGACCTCGTCAAAGCCACAGTCACATTCTTCGTTCTCATCGACAACACCGTTTCCGCACATCTTCGGCTTGGCTATTTTAGAGGGTACGTTCAGCAAACATTCTTTCCCTTGTCTTATTAAATTGTAATAGATCTCCCTGCTGCAATTGCTCAGCCGCAGACATTTTCTGTAAGAGAATAAATGATCCTCCAGCGCGGGGCGGCTATTTCCTTTTTATCCCACCTCCTATTTCTACAACATTAACCTTCTAACTGGCTCCTGTTCCCAGCTGGATTTCAGCTGAAATACCGAGTGGCCTTGGATTTCCTGTCTCTGCCTCCTTCATAGAGGCGCTGCCTGCAGCTGTTAGCAACTGGAGCAGCCTACAAACCCAGGAAGCAAAGGAGAAACAAGACAAAGTCCCTAGCATGCGTATGGATTGTGCGGCTCCCGTGTGTTCTCGGTTGGAGAGAAGGGGAAAGGGGAACCATTTCTGCCCATCCCACTACTCGTTGAAAGACATCGCCTGACTTCCCTGTTCTCAGCTCTTTGAGGCCTGGTCGCAGGGCCTTTTCTCCGAAACCCCCACTAAACATACATCTGGGAACTCAACATTTGGGAGGGAGTGGATGAGAGCCTCCTCTCCAGCCCTCAGGGCACTTGGCATAACTTTCCAGGTCAACCTATCAGTGCCAGAAGGCACCAGGTACTGCTGGAAGGCAAGGAAGGGGGTACTTGTTTCAAACCAGCCCTGAGGGCTTAACGTTGGTCTCATTTCACACAGGGCTTAAATGCTGACCCCGATCAGGGCCAGACCAATTCGGCAAGGCTGCTCTTCCAGCCTCTGTATGCTTTAAAAGTGCAACTGTTCCGAAAGCGGACGGGCAAAATTCACTGGGAATTTAGTATTTATTAAATGTGCATGACTCTGGGTGGCTAACAATGAAAAACAGAATAAGCACAATAAATACAAGTCCAGCCGGAATGGCCGGCTGCTAAACAGGACCAAACTGGGACCATCCACAGGGGGAGGTCAGATCCTGCAAGATGGCTGCTGTGGTGTGGTGATCAAAGCCCTGCTCTTTTTCTGCATGCCCCGCCCCCACCCATGCAAAAGTGGCAGGGCTCTGATCACAACGCTACGCCCGCTATCTTGCACATCCTGAGGGCCCCGTGGACCCCCCAGTACAAAACTGCTTTTTTGTAGCTCTGCTTATTTTAAAAGGGTTCTGGCAGATATGCTCAGAAGTAGTTGAATTTCCATCAGCGCATACGAAGGAACTAAAATTAGGCAAAATTGGTCTAGTGGTTGAGGCTCCAGGCTAGAATGCAGGAGACGGCGAGTTCCAGTCCCACCTGAGGTGCAAAAGCCGGCTGGGCGACTTTGGGCCACTCCCTCTCTCTCAGCCCAGCTCAGCAAACAGGGTGGTTGTTGTGGGGAAAAGAGGAGGAGGAAGGAGTATTAGGTATGTCTGCCCCCTTGAGCTATTTGTAAAAATAATAAAGTCGGGATAAAACAATCTAAAAAAAACAAACCGTGAAAGCAATTAAAAAAAAAAAAACTGTACTGTAAAAGCAAAACCTGAATCCAGTTCCTTCTCCAGGGCAAGGAGGAAAAGCTTCAAGCCGGGCTTGAAAACAAGCTTGTGATCATTTTTATACTTCTGCAAGTTCACTAGCATCACTGAAATGAAGTAATACTCACACTGTGTTTAGCTGTGTTACCATGACACATTTGCCCATCTCGGCACAACCGCAGTCGCAGTGCTGGGTTCTGCTGTCCGGCGCGTCATCATGCCTGAAGCCGAAGGTGTGGCCCAACTGATGAGCTATGTTTAAGGCATCCTTCACGACATCGTCCTCCGACTGTACACAAGTGGCAACAGAGGAGTTGGGCAAGTTATTAAAGCTTTAGAAAACGTTTTGCAATTCCATTTGATGCTTTGTGATTCTCGGAAAAGGGCCAGCGATAAAACAACCCGATGCAAAAATACTCTGACTTGAATGAACACCTTATTTTTCAAAAGTTCACTTTTGGGACTGGGCGTGGATGGCAATGTTGGGATCGGAGCTGCTGATGTTCGACCCAAGAACTGCCAGTGGATGCAAGGCGGGTGCAGGTCCTTCCCAAGGATTTACGAGAAAAGCAGAAAGAGGGGGACTGGCGGAGCTCACCAGCTGTTATAGTGCCAACAGCTGCCCCCTTCATCCAAGAGAGGGAGAAAAGCTGGATTGAGCAGAGGAAGAAAAGCTGGGCAACCCATAACTGGGGCTGGAGGTGTCCCCTGGGGCAGGCCCCAGAACCTGTTCTGGTCAACTCAGTTTTCTGTGAAATAGGCCTAATGCAGCTTAACAATAAAAGCCCCACAACCTCTCCACACCTAAGCAAACACCAGCCCCACTTGGCATCGTCCCATCCTCTCATCTCCGTTTGGAGTGAAGCTCTGGGCCTCTCTGTGGTTGCTCAGCATCCTGTTCCTGAGGATGCTGCTGAAGTGAAACACAGCCCAAGTTCCTTCAGTCGAGCAGTGCCGTCTATCAGGACCCCAGAAACATGACTTCTCTATCGCAGCACCTGCCCTCTGGGATGAGGTTCCCCCCGAGATCCAGGGACACCCACCCTGACGGCATTCTGGAAAGCTCTGAAGGCCTGGCTGTTTTCCCAGGGCTTGGGCTAGGGGCGTTGGAGCCCTTTGTGGGTAGTGTGGGCATGATTTCATTGTTGCCCAGTTTTGCCATCTTTTTGCTCCTCTGTCTTTATTGTTACATTGTTTTATTGTTATTTTTTCTGTGTTTTCATTTTGTGAATTGCCCAGAGTCTCTGGGACTTGGGTGGGGTACAAATGTAATAATAAATCAATAAATCAAATCATCTAAATCAGGCAGAGTAGGGCAGCCAGGAAAAGTCAAAATCTTGGAATCTATTTTGCACAACCATCTTTTCACAAACATGTCACCAACACCCCTGTCCCCCCAAAGCCAGCCAGAGAATTTAAGGGATGTATTAACAGCCCAAGCGGAAAGGGATAATCACCTACACGCATAGCAGACACCGACGCATGATTGTGATCACAAATGTGTTCTCCCCACGCAAGTCCATCAGGAGATCCTTGATTCCTAAGATGCAACGGATGGTAATAGACATTATAAATCAATGGCTTCAGGCCAAACAGAACAAGGGAAGGGAGGGACTATATCTGGAGACAGACATTCATCATGGTTTATGGGACAAGGGCGGGTTGCAGACTTTCTCACTCCTCGGACAACTTCTGCAGGGTTCCCTGGTCTCACGAGCTGCAGGACTAACCTTGCTCTTCTGTCCCAAACCCTTTTTGCCCCGTGATTGGATTTCAGATACAATAAATCCTTTTGATACCAATGATATGAACACACATGAAGGTGATGGAGGGAGCCAGGTGATTCGAGACATTGGTAAAACGCAAGTCCTGATCTTAATAATGTGAAAATAAGGAAGTCGGGCACATTTTTAGACCGTGGGTATGTGCTGTATTTTTAGACCACGGGTGTGGCTGTTTATTTTAACTAACTATGCTGGGCTGTCTTTTGATTTTAATTCTCTGCTTGCCCCCTAAAGTCACTGTTGTGAGATGGGCGGCCAAGTAAATGGTTTAAATAAATAAATGCATAAGGAAAAAGGATGGGGTCTTACGTAATCAGGCCAGCGTGGTCAAAATACACACGATGCTGAAGCTCATAGGTGGCGTAATAGTAAAATTCAGTCAGCGTCTTGTACAGATTCTTAGCATGAATTTGTATATAGTCTCTCTCTGTCCAGAGCTCCAGGCCTACCAAATAAACATGAAGTCCTATTTCGAAGTACATCTGAAAGCAGAAAAAGCAAGCTGATGCGCTTTTATTTACATTCACCTTTTTTTCAAATGTCTTCTTTTGATAACAAAATGATCTCTTCATTTTTTTTGAAAGAGCTAGCAAGAGGTAAGGAGCCTCAGAGAACACAGCAGTGCTTCAAATATTTCTGTCTCACATCCAGGAGTCCCTTTGGAGCTACCGTGGATCTGAGGGATGAACCGTCCCATATTGGATGAGGCTCCCGAGAAGGCAATTTGCAGTTTCCATTGCTCAGACCTTGTGGCAGGACAGGTTGGCTCATCCCACAGGTGGGTGGACAGTGAGGTGTGTCCAGTGTTATCCTGAATAATTATGGAATTCACGTCAATGACCTGTTCTTCCCATGTTAGGGTTCACTCAGTCTCAGAGCTTGCTTTGAGGGTAAATACCACAAGTGGGGAGAGGGGAACAGTCTGGAAAGGAAGAGGCCAGAGGTAAAGGCCAGAGCAAATGATGTTGCTACCTCAAATCTTGTTCCTCTGCACTTCAGTGTCACAAGAGGTGTTCTTGCCTGGGGTCAAGCTCACAGCCATGTCGGCTGATTCTCATTGTGCCAGAGTTTTGAAAAGGAAAAGTGTTAGGTTATGGAAAACCAGCTGTTATCTGAACTTTAGCACTCCATGTTTTAAAAGTGGGGGCCTCTTGATCCTTCTGATCCTCTTTCTGACTGTCTCCGGATATGGGGAGATGTGGCTCCCTGTTTGCCAGATGATAAGGAAGAAATGTTCAGACCTGCCGATACCTTACAAATTGCCATTCTTGTTCCCCGACTCAGAATTCCTGCTGCCTTTGGGGCTGGGGTTGCTGCCCCTCCCACCTCACCATTAGAGCATTACCTGCCACATTCGCAGAGAGACCAAGACTGACCTGGCCCTTCAGAGGAATGGAGAGGGCTGTGTCGTGATACAGGCAGAATGGATTTTGGGCACAGAGGACTGGTCATGGGACTCAAGGGCCCCGCGGTGAGACTGCCTGTCTGTATAGCTCAGCCCAGGGCTCTTTGGTTGTGTTGGTCTGCAACTGCATGTTTTCATGGGCAAAGCAGCCCCCGGACTGGCATAAGCCTCAAGGGGGTGAGTCAAATGGTTTAGGTAAGTCAGTGCCCAAGGCTAGAAAGGTGGTGAGCACGAAGCTGCAGAGCTACAGAAGCAAAGCAGAGACCTCGCAGCTTCAGGACGGAAAGTCAAGGGAGGAACTCCGTGGGGTGGGCAGAAGCCCATTCTGGACTCCCTTTTCACTCTAGAGCAGTGTTTTTCAAACTTGGCCACTTTAAGGTGGGTAGACTTCAACTCCCAGAATTCCCCAGCCAGTCATCTTAAAGTGGCCACGTTTGAAAAACACCGCCTGAGGTCTTTAGGGAAAAAGTGTGGAAAGTGCTCTTCGATAGAACGAAGGAGCCATTTAAAATGCATTTGCATGGCTTTGAGACCGAACGATCGAATGCATTCCCAGCGCCGTTTGGGATCGTTCCTTTTAAATAAATGTCTCAAAATAAGATGCGTAAAAACATACTCACAGCATGAACATTGGCCATCAACTGAGTGACCAGTATTACTGATGCGGTTTCATTGCGCTTCAGGGCAACACACTGAAAGAAGGAAAAGTGACAGTGGAGCATTCAGTACAAAGTTTATAAACCATGTTTGTTTCGGGGGTTTTTTTAAACAAGGCATTGATATGACCACTTCTGGTAGCAAATCTTTTCACGACCAACACGTTCCTGGCAGAGGTGGGAATGACGTTAAGATTGTCCATCCTGAAGATCCATGGAGTCCTAGGGATTCTTGAATATTCTGGTGGCAGAGTCCAAGGGAAAGGGGTCAAAAAAGTCAAGAGGGCTGCCATGACCATGCAGTCAAAGCCCTGCCCCTCTCTTGGTGTTTAGAAAATGGATGAAGATGCCTCTCTTCTGCAAGGTTTTTAGTTATTAAATGATTTTAGAGCCTATTGGATGGTTCATTTTAATAAGGGTTTCAAACTTTTAATGCTTTTTAAAAATTTTGTTAGCCCCACCCCCACCCAAAGTAGAAAGGCGGGGACGTAAATCAAATAAGCCACAAATCAGTTGGAACCTCTGCGCTTCCACTCCTGCCTGCGTGGAGATACTCAGAAAGAAATATTGGGCGGTGGCATCTCTGCCACTGGCGACCCTGCTGTGAGACACACCAAGATTGTGTGTCCACAATACACGATGAAAGGCTTCTTTGTGGTGGGGTGGCAAGGTCATCAAGAGACCGATGACCCTCCATGCTCTTTCTTTACAACATCTGAACCAGAAGGGGTTGTGCATGTCCTAAACCAGTGTTGTCCAAACTTGGCCACTTTAAGATGAGTGGACTTCAAAACCCAGAAATCCCCCCCCCCCCCCGCCCGCCCGGCGAGTTCCTTTGATTGAGTTCACGCGCAATACAGCTTGCCTACCGA